TACAGTTGAAGCTAACTTTTTATTTATTTATTTAGCTTAGACTTAATAAAAGAAATATAGTCATTGTCAAAGTTAATTCAGGTCTCATCTAAGTGACATAGTGCTGGACCGTGTTTTAAAAAATAACCTCTTTTGGGCTGAGCGCGGTAGCTCACGTCTGTAATCTCAACACTTTGGGAGGCTGAGGTGGGTGGATCACTTGAGGTCAGGAGTTCGAGACCAGCCTGGCCAACATGGAGAAACCCTGTCTCTACTAAAAATACAAAAATTAGCTGGACATGGTGGCAGGTGCTTGTAGTCCCAGCTACTCGGGAGGCTGAGTCAGGAGAATTGCTTGAGCCTGGGAGACGGAGGTTGCAGTGAGCCACTGCACTCCAGCCTGGGCAACAGAGCAATACTCTCTCAAAAAAACAAGAAAAAAACTACTTTCCTTAAAATGTTTTACAGTAGTTATTTCAATTAGAGAGCAGGAGAAGGGAAAATATGTCTTAATTAGACCAAACTGAATTGAACATCTCTGGATTTTCTTTTTTTTTTTTTTTTTTAAACATAAGCTGACAGTGGGGAAAACAGCACTATATACCTTTTGGACTTTCGTATTTCAACTATTCTTGATGTTGCCCCCTTTTTTAGGAAGAAGAAGAAGAAGAAGAAAACAGGATATCTGAAGAAGCAGAAAGACAGTATCAACAGAATAAATTGCAGACTGATTCCATTGTTCAGACAGATCAACCAGAGACAGTGATATCCAGCTCATTTGTGAATGTCAATTTTGAAATGGAGGGAGACAGTGAAGTAATTATGGAAAGCAAGCAAAATCCAGTCTCTGTCCCACCATAAAATGAAATGACTATCAAGCTTTAAACTCTTAAGTTTTTTTTTTAATATAGAAACTTTCACATTCTTTATTCAGTGGGACTTAATACAATTATTTATATTTTAAATTATTAAAATATCTGGAAAGGGAAAATGTTTCTTCATTTTTAGAATCTATCTAGCAAAAGCCAGATCTGAAATTCAGATATTTGTACTGTTTTTACTGTGCATAGAATTAGTGATTTGGTTTTAAAATGATCTTTTAAAAACATTAAGGACATCCTAGAGCCTTAATAGTTAAGAAGAGTTAAATTATCAAGCCTGTCTATTTGTACGTTTGCTTTTTTTAAAAAAGGTAAGTTGCTGATTAAGTCTAATTGTAACTGATAATTCCATAGTCTTAGATTAAAATGAGGATATTTTCTTCTAGATTTTCTCATGTTATGCCATGCATTTATATATCTAACCATTAATTCACATTAAGGATGCTTCACCATATAATAAAAGGAGAAAGATGGAAGCACTTTGAATTTTCTTTCATTGAGAATAACTTTTATGTAAGATTCTGTATTTATAACACCAGATATTAAGATAGGCTTATATCCATTTTTTAATGCAAGCCACTTAATCTTGTATTCTTTTTCAGGACTCAAATAACTAGCTTTGAACATAAAATTAAAACACTACTTATGGAATATATTTATTAATGTTAAACCTAGTGAATATCCATGTGGCATCCTGGTTATGTTATCCGTTCAGCATTCATCCTATAGAAAAGTGGTTTGGAGGAGATTGGGGGATAGTGGGACAGGTATAGATTTAATCCATCAGGAGCAATTAGATATTGTATAAGGTGCAATGATAGCCTAACGAAATTACCTGACATTCATCATTTAGAAGTAGCAACAGTGAAGACTGGACAGTTTACCTGAATTTGTTTGGCCATTCCTCTACCTACTTGGTTATTTGTAAAACTTATAAAGGTATATATTGTGAAGCTAATTTTGAAAATATTCCTAAATATGGCTGGGTATGGTGCTTACGCTTGTAATCCCAGCACTTTGGGAAGCTGAGGCGGGCAGATTACTTGGGTCAGGAGTTTGAGACCAGCCTGGCCAATGTAGTGAAACCCCATCTCTACAAAAATACAAAAATTTAGCCGGGTGTGGTGGTGCACATCTGTAATCCCAGTTGCTCCGGAGGCTGAGGCAGGAGAATCACTTGAACCAGGGAGGTGGAGGTTGCAGTGAGCCGAGATTGCACCACTGCACTCCAGCCTGGGTGACAGAGTGAGACTCCATCCTGCGGGGGGGAAGAAAAATACATACACACACACACACACACACACACACACACACACATATATTTCTAAATGTGTGTATGGAACCTTTTATCAGTATAACATTGATTTATAATTAAATGTGGGTGAGGAAGAATGTGTGGAGTATTTCAGAAATTTTGATCTTAAAACCCTTTTCAGAAACTTAAAGCTGTTAGAAATTAAGTTATACTAATAGCCTTCTAAACAGCATTAAGTTTTCAATCTTAATATATCTATATAAAATATAGTGTCAGAAAGTAACATCATCAATACAGTGGGTCCGTAATGGAAATCTGTGTCAATGAACATGAACGGAGTTCCTCAACTACAAGTTGAAGGATAATTAAACTTTTCATTAGGAGTGTTCAGCTACATGGATTCATGGAATGGGGGTTCATAGTAAGTGATGGTAATCTTTTTATTCATGGGTGTAAACCATTTATAACTTAGTGCTCAAAAGACTAATCTTTTGATTATATAATGTCCCATGAATTATAGTTTACCAATAGTTCTAAAACATGCTAACCTAACCTTTTCCTTCTAATTTAACTTCATTCGAGATAGTACCTCTCACTCACAGATATTTATTTGGTTATCAAGTGAAGGTAGGTGTGTTTAAAAGTGATCTTTTGAATCCTGTCTCCCTAGAGGTAATAGTTTCTAGAGTTTACCGAGAACATTTTATGATTGTAATAAAAGGAAGTAGTGACTTATGGAGGTTTTGTTTCTTGAATTTTACTTTTGCTACTTGTCCAATAGTGGCTAGTTTATCAATAGTTATTCACTGTGCCTTAAGTTTATACTGTTTATGCAAACTATAAAATTTCCCATAAATGTATTCAGTGGTTTGTCTTATTTTAAACCTCTTTCACTCACTTTTTCATACTTCCTTTTCAGTCCTTTTAAGAATTCCAGTTCCAGCTGGGTGTGGTGGTCCACGCCATAGTCCCAGCACTTTGGGAGGCCGAGGTGGGCGGATCACCAGGTCAGGAGTCTGAGACCAACCTGGCCAACATGGTGAAATCCCATCTCTACTAAAAATACAAAAATTAGCTGGGCATGGTGGCAGGTGCTTGTAATCCTAGCTGCTCGGGAGGCTGAGGCAGGAGAATCGCTTGAGCCTGGGAGGCAGAGGTTGCAGTAAACGGAGTTTGTGCCATTGTACTCCAACCTGGGTGACAGAGTAAGACTCGTCTCCAAAAAAAAAAAAAATTCCAGTTCCTTCTGGATCATAGTTCATATTTACCTTCTTCTGATCTTTCAGCATCTCATAAAAACTAAATGTAACATATAACTGAAGTCTTTACCCTGAATTAACATAAATGCTTTAACAAAAATCCTTAACAAAATGAAGTTTATTTTTTGGTTTGAGACAGGGTCTTACTCTGTTGCCCAGGCTGGAGTGCAATGGTGCAATCATGGTTCACTCCAGCCTCGACCTCCTGGGCTTTAGCAGTCCCCTGTCAGCCTCCCAAGGATCAGGGATGACAGGCTCACACCACCATGCCCAGCTAATGTTTTTTATTTATTTTTTGTACAGACTTCGTTTTGCCATGTTGTCCAGGCTTGGAATTAAGTTTTATAAAATGTAACTCTGGTACTGGTTAATAAAACTAGACTTTTTTTTTTTTTGAGACGGAGTCTCACTCTGTCGCCCAGGCTGGAGTGCAGTAGCGCGATTTTGGCTCACTGCAAGTTCCGCCTCCTGGGTTCATGCCATTCTCCTGCCTCAGCCTCCCGAGCAGCTGGGACTACAGGCGCCCACCACCACGTCCAGCTAATTTTTTGTATTTTTAGTAGAGACGGGGTTTCACCGTGTTATTCAGGATAGTCTCGATCTCCTGACCTCGTGGTCTGCCCACCTCGGCCTCCCAAAGTGTTGGGATTACAGGCATGAGCCACCATGCCCGGCCGACAAATTTTTTATACCAATGATTTTCATGAAAGTAAAACACTAGTTTGAATACATTTTATTAAAACATCCAATTAAAAGAAAGAACAAGCCTGGGCATGGCTCACATATCATGGTGGCTATAATCTCAGCACTGTGGGAGGCTGAGGCGGGTGGATCACCTGAGGTCAGGAGTTCGAGACTAGCCTGGCCAACATGGCGAGACCCCATCTCTACTAAAAATACAAAAATTAGCCAGGCATGGTGGTGCACACCTGAAGTCCCAGCTACTCAGGAGACTGAGTCAGGAGAATTGCCTGAAGCAGATCATGCCACTGCACTCCAGCCTGGACAACAGAGGGAGACTGTCTCAAGGGAAAAAAAACCAAAAAACGAAAAACAAAAAGGCTGGGTGCCATGGCTCACATCTGTAATCCCAGCACTTTGGGAGGCCGAGGCCGAGGCAGGCAGATCAGGTCAGGAGTTCAAGACCAGCCTGGCTAACATAGTGAAACCCTGGCTCTGCTAAAATACAAAAATGAGCCAGGTGTGTTGGCAGGCCCCTATAATCCCAGCTACTCAGGAGGCTGAGGCAGGAGAATCACTTGAACCCCCTAAAAAAAAAATCCTAATCCTAACCCAGAAATAAAATGGCTCTACTCTAATGAATGGGAAAGTTTGTAATCTTTTGAGATTTTATATATATATACATATATAAAATCTATGTGTGTGTATATATATGCACTGTCAGTCAAATATTCACATTCTAAATGACTGTCAGAAATATTCCATGGAAACTTCATCTCTGAAGATTATACATGTTTAAACTGAACATCATCTGTCTACAGCAAATCACACTTCCCATCTTTGAACTAAAAGGAACCAGAACTTACCCTACCTCCTAACAAGCAATATTTGGTCCTATTTTTTCTAAACTATTGCAACCAGAATTCCAGTAACCAAAACATTTGCTGTGTTCTCTAGGCATATCAAGTGTTTTATTTAGACCATTCTGAGGATTTTGCTTTAAAGGCTTTACATGCAGCATTCAAGTATCTCTTAATATAAGACAGTCTAGTCTTTCAGAGATCATGTATCATCAAGGTCTGTAGAGTTTTCACTGTCATTTGCAACAAGAGCTTCTCTGTTCTCATAAGTCCAGAAGCCATTCAAATCGATTAGAATGGTGGTTACTGTGTCTCCTTGATTACTGTTGATTAAATCCTGAAGAGAGATTTTCAAAGGATCCTTTGGTTTTACCATGTCAAAGATTTCATCCTGCAAGAGAAAAAAAATACAATGAAATTTGATCCACTTAATTTCTATCACACGTCGTGATCCAAAATTCAGGGCTGTCTGCATCCACTGAAGTATGGAGGAATAAAATTGAGGGCTGCCACTTGGGCTTATGTTAATTTTTTGTTCTACTTTTTTTCTTTTCCATTTAACAGGCAGTTTCCTTTTCTCTACCTACAATCACAAAATTTTATTGGATAACTTCTTAGCTATGTGATAGCTGTCCTTCATTTTGTAGATGAAGAAACCAAGGCTTAGCATCTAATCCAGCTACACAGGTAATTAGTGGCAGAACTATTTAATGCAGTGTTCAGGGACTGCATGTTAACTAATTTCTTACATATTTTTCTATTGCCTTTCTAATTGGTGGTGAAACAAGGTTTTGTCTGTAGTTTTTGTTGTTTTGTTTTGTTTTTGAGATGGAGTCTCGCTCTGTCATCCAGGCTGGAGTGCAGTAGAGCAATGTTGGCTTACTGCAACCTCCGCTTCCGGGGTTCAAGCAATTCTTCTGCCTCAGCCTCCCGAGTAGCTGGGACTAGAGGTGCACACCACCACACCCAGCTAATTTTTGTATTTTTAGTAGAGATGGGGTTTCACCATATTGGCCAGTCTGGTCTCAAGCTCCTGACCTTAAGTAATCTGCCCGCCTTGGCCTCCCAAAGTGCCGGAATTATACGCGTGAGCCACTGCACCCAGCCTTGTTTTTTTTTTGAGACAGAGTTTCACTCTTGTTGCCCAGGCTGGAGTGCAATGGCGTGATCTCGGCTTACCGCAGCCTCTGCCTCCTGGGTTCAAGCGATTCTCCTGCCTCAGCCTCCCAAGTAGCTGGGATTACAGGCATACACCACCACATCCGGCCAATTTTTGTATTTTTAGTAGAGACGGGGTTTCTTCATACTGGTCAGGCTGGTCTCAAACTCCTGACCTCAGGTGATCCACCTGCTTTGGCCTTCCAAAGTGCTGGGATTACAGACGTAAGCCACCGTGCCCAGCCCCTTCTTTTTTTGTGTGAGATGGAGTGTCCCTCTGTCACCCAGGCTGGAGTGCAGTAGTGTGATTTTGGCTCACTGCAACCTTTGCCTCCCAGGTTCAAGCCATTCTCCTGCCTCAGCCTCCCGAGTAGCTGGGATTACAGCTGCATACCACCACACTCGGCTAACAAGGGTTTGGTTTAATTTTTTTTGCTAATGGTTCAACTCAATTAAACATCTAAATGTTTCAGAGATAGTGACAAAGCTTCATTTCCAATATTGATGTCAACATTTTATTAGGATAGGAGAGGAGTTCTTCTTTCTGGATATGCATTAGATATCCAAAAAGAAGCTAAATGCTGCTAAAACTTACTGGAACATATAGAAGACCTCCTTCTATATTATGAAGTGTACAACAGATATTTACAGGGAATTAGTACATGTTTTCTAATCTTTTTGTAGTAAAATTACTACAAAATTTGTAGTAAAATAAAATTTGTAGTAAAATTACTCAGGTGAACAGGCTCTTTGAGGTAGCATACTAAAAAAAAGTGCCTGAACCTAAACAGTTTCCAAGGTAAAAATTCAGTTTACAGTTGAATAGACTGCCGTAGGATGTAGACTGTACTGACTGTCTCAATTTTCTTTTTTTTTTTTGAGTCAGAGTTTTACTCTTATTGCCCAGGCTGGAGTGCAGTGGCGCGATCTCAGCTCACTGCAACCTCCACCTCCCGGGCTCAAAAGATTCTCCTGCCTCAGCCTTCCGAGTAGCCAGGATTACATGCATGCACCACCACACCCAGCTAATTTTTGTATTTTTAGTAGAGACGGGATTTCACCATGTTGACCAGGCTGGTCTTGAACTCCTGACCTCGGGTGATCCGCCCGCCTTGACCTCCCAAAGTGCTGGGATTACAAGCGTGAGCCACTGCGCCCGGCCCCCTGTCTTAATTTTCAATTAAAATGAATGAATGCCTCCAATGAGAACATAGTGATGACAATACTAAAATTATAAACTATATAAATAGTCCAAATGTGGTCTCAGTTCGTAATGATTTAAATATCAGTTCAGAACAAAAAGCAAATACTTGATTCAAATAGTACTTCATTACTTGCTTTCATATAAAATTTCATGTAATACAAATGACTATCTCACAATTATCTGGTAATATGTAAATTAAAGGAAAAGATAACCTTGACATCTTGAAATGAAACAGGATCTTGTCCGTGGATTTTCATTAGTTCCTGTATGGCCTGTATTTGATAGAAATAAATCTAAGTAAAAAATGAAATACACAACATCCCCTCTCTTGCCCCACAACCCCTTTCTACTTATAGTTCCTTTCCTATCAGACCACAAACCTCATCATTCTCTCTCTTGACAATCTTTTTAGCTTTCTTGACCTTATTCCATATCAATGAGCAAAACCTAAATTCTCAGTGTATTGACCTTTTTAGACCTGTATCTTAACTACTGAGAACTTCAGGAAAAAAAATAAAAAGACTACAGATTGCTGCGTCTACATAGGAATGTTCTCCAACCTCAAATGGGCCCTCAACATGGCATCACAATTATTCTGTTTGATCTGCTCCTCTCATTTTCCACGAATGTTATTCCTGCCTTCACTATTAAGACCCCCAATCTACTGTCTCCCTTCCTACCCTACACTTTGCTTTCTACGTAATACAAGAAATGGAGGTAGACCTCCCAAAACTCTTCCTTTTTATAAACTTTAACAAAAAAATGAAGAAACTGCTGTCATCCAGTGGGACTACAAAATACTTCAGGTGAGCATTATTCAGTGGAAATGTGAAGTTTAAAATTCTTGGTGAATAGTCAACTAACTTTGTTCCTAATGCCTACTCTGTATGTGTTACCACTGATAATCAGAGTATCCATAAAGGAATCTCTTTGAAGTAGATAAGCATCTGAGTACATGCTATGTTAATATAGTAATAGGCTTGGATGGTATGATCTAGAGGGAATCATCCAGGCCCAGCTTTATCACTAGGATACTGATGTTCAAACGCTCTATGAATAGCCCAGGATTATAGGGCTCAGCACTGGACACTTTTTTTTTTTTTTTTGAGACGGAGTCTCGTTCTGTTGCCCAGGCTGGAGTGCAGTGGCCGGATCTCAGCTCACTGCAGGCTCCGCCTCCCAGGTTTACGCCATTCTCCTGCCTCAGCCTCTCGAGTAGCTGGGATTACAGGCACCCACTACCTCGCCCGGTTAGTTTTTTGTATTTTTTAGTAGAGACGGGGTTTCACCATGTTAGTGAGGATGGTCTTGATCTGACCTTGTGATCCACCCACCTTTGCCTCCCAAAGTGCTGGGATTACAGGCATGAGCCACCGCACCTGGCCGATTTTTAAGTTTAATAAAAGCATTTACTTAACAGATTTCAGAAGGAAATCAAGTCTGTTTTTAGATTTTTCTTTCCTATTTAAAAAAATATAAATGAGTTAAAGCTGATTTGATTAGATATAAAATAAAATTATGTATATGTCAGGGGCTGTACTACCATTGGAAATACAAATATGTGATAAATTCTGTACTTGTGACGAAAAACTTGTAAGATGCTAAGCAGTTCAGAAAAGGTAACTCCTTTCCACAGAAATTTTTATAGACTTTGGTAGTTGTATTTTTTTTTGAGACAGTCTTGCTCTGCTGCCCAAGCTAGAATGCAGTGGCGTGATTTTGGCTCACGCAACCTCCGCCTCCTGGGTTCAAGTGATTCTCCTGCCTCAGCCTCCCAAGTAGCTGGGATTACAGGCAAGTGGACCCAGTTATTGGGGAGGCTGAGTGGGAAGCCTGCCTGAGCCCAGGAGTTGGAGGTTGCAATGAGCTATGATCGTGCCACTGCACTCCAGCCTGGGTGACAGAGCCAGACCTTTTCTCAAAAAAAGAAAAAAAATAAATAAAAATCACGAGTTAGGTAAAATGGTTACTAAATATTTAATTTACACAAAATGATACATCTTTAATTTGCTCCTTTTTCTAATTTCCTAAAGTAGATGCTGATTTTAGATCTTTAACGTTTTCCAATATATACATTCAATACTATAAATTTCCCTCTAGCCACCGCTTTTGCTGCATCTCACAATTTTTTTTTTTTGAGACAGACCCGGCCACAACCAAATGATACCTTAAGGAACAATGACTCACTTATGCAAATGAGACTTACCCTAAAGAAATAATTAAGTGAAAAGACATTCAGATATCCTTTGTTCTCAATATCAAGCAGTTTGAAAATATACTGTAGAGCTGCGGGTTCCTTTCTGTTTTCTAATGCAAGGACAAAGTCCAAGTAGGTCTTATAGTCCTGCAGAACAGAAAATAATGTTCATTAGAGGCCTTAGTTGAAATTAACTTTCAAGTGCATATTAAGATTTGAAGCTATTTTGCAATCAAAGGTGGCAAATTTAATTTTTTCCCTAAGTTATAAAATGAGAAATCCATTTATATACTTAATATTGGTTTCTAGGAATTTTTTTTATTTTTCTTGAGACGGAGTTTCACTCTTGTGAAAGGCTAGAGTGCAATGGCACGATCTTGGCTCACCACAACCTCCACCTCCCGGGTTCAAACAATTCTCCTGCCTCCTGAGTAGCTGGGATTACAGGCATGTGCCACCATGCTGGGCTAATTTTGTATTTTCAGTGGAGACAGGGTTTCTCCATGTTGGTCAGGCTGGTCTCGAACTCCCGACCTCAGGTGATCCGCCTACCTCAGCCTCCCAAAGTGCTGGGATTACAGGCATGCACCACCACGCCTGGCTAATTTTATATTTTTAGTAGAGACAGGATTTTGCCATGTTACCCAAGCTGGTCTCAAACTCCTGACCTCAAGTGACCCGCCTGCCCCGGCCTCCCAAAGTGCTGGGATTACAGGCATGCACCACCACGCCTGGCTAATTTTATATTTTTAGTAGAGACAGGATTTTGCCATGTTACCCAAGCTGGTCTCAAACTCCTGACCTCAAGTGACCCGCCTGCCCCGGCCTCCCAAAGTGCTGGGATTACAGGCATGCACCACTGTGCCCGGCCCTAGTTCATTTTTTTATGAGAGATTTGCTGTGTTAAACTATAGTTTTCTTTCATTATTCATAAAACAAGAACATTATTCTTGTTTTTGAGACAGGGTCTCACTTTATCAACCAGGCTGAAATGGTCACTACAACCTTGATCTCCCAGGCTCAAGCAATCTTCCCACTACAGCCTCACAGGTAGCTGAGACTACAGGTGCACGTCATCAAACTTGGCTAATTTTTAAAAATTCTTTGTAGAGATGGGGTGTTCCCGTATTACCCATGCTAGTCTCAAGCTCCTGGGCTCAAGCCATCATCTGGCCTTGGCCTTCCAAAGTGCTGGGATTAGAGGGATGAACTACTGCATCCTGCTTCAAACTTTTGAAACAGATAATACAGTGACTAAGTTATAAACTTGTATGTTCTGTTGCCCAGGCTGGAGTGCAGTGGCCGGATCTCAGCTCACTGCAACCTCCACCTCCCGGGCTCAAAAGATTCTCCTGCCTCAGCCTTCCGAGTAGCCAGGATTACATGCATGCACCACCACA